AAGTGGAGTGGGAGGAAGGGAGAGAGAGAGAGAGAGAGAGGAAGAGAGAGAGAGAGAGAGAGAGAACGTGGGAGGTGTTCAGTCGGCGGCGCGCAGACAACCCAGCGCGCCGAGGGCCCACCGGTGCTGCCAACGCGGTGACCGAAACCGGGAGGCCTGCAGCGTGGATCGCCCAGGCGCGCTGAATCACCAACCCGCGCCATGCATTCATCGCCCCTCCGGTGATGTGAGGCGGCGGCGGCCCGACTGGCTGGTCGCACGCAGGCGCTCTGTGTGCGGGCGGCGCCGCGCCGCTGGAGCGGCCCGCCTCGCCGCGCGGCGGGCGAAGGGCCACCGCGCACGCGGGCACGGCCGCTGCCCGCGGCTTAGCGCCAGCAGCGCGGCCGCCGACGAGCTCGCAGGGGAGGCCGCGTGCGCGCGGGTCCTGCCCCGCAGCGCGCTGCGGGCGACGCGGTGGGACAGCCAGGCGCGCTGATGGCCCGATGGGACTCAGCGCCTCCTGGCTGCGGCAGGACTGACTGGCCACGCTACGGGTGAGCTACGAGTGCTCGCGGCCGGCTGGGCCAGTGCGCTGCGGAGGCGGCAGGCCGCGCGCCCCCCAGGGAGGGGCCTGGCGCGCCCGTAGATTCGGAGGCCAGCACCCAGCAGCTCCTTGCGGCCTCGTGGGGCCCAGCGGTGGGCGGTCTGTCGCCGGCCGCGGGCCGCGCGGCCCCGCAGTGGCGGGCGGCACCGGCCCTGTCGCGCGCGGGCTGGGTCGCCGCGCGTGCCGCGGACCTCCGCCCGGCGCGCGCCGAGCCAAGCAGTCCGCGCTGACCTCAGACAGGATGTGCTTTTAGTCGCTCGTTGCCCCTCGAGGCTTCGGCTGTCGCCTGCCCAGCGGTCAGGGTGCCCCCAGTGGCCGCCGCCGGCGGGGGGCGCCGTGCCCCGTGGCCCCGAGGGGCCCCCGTGGGCACGGGAGGGGAGGGATGCACTGGCTCCGCGCTCTCGGCGGGCGGCTCGCTCTTTGGCCGCGGGGCGGAACACGGGCAGCGTCGGCTGCGTGCAGCCTGGAACTGCCCATGCGAGGCGCTCCCGAAGAGGATTGGAGGAGTTGGCATCTTTGCCTCGGCGGAAGGGCGGCGGCGGCGGAAGTAAAACGAGGGCGGCTCCGCCGGCGGAAGCCGGCGGAAGGCCGGCGGAAGCCTCGACGGCTCAAGACGGTTGCGTCGCAGCGACGGTCGTGCCAGGTCGCAAGTCCTGGCCAGTGCTTGCCCCCCTAGTCGGCCGCGCCATGTGGGCAGCGGGGACACGGTGAAGGGGGAGTGCTTCACGGACCACTGCGAGGTGAGCGTTCGCGGGGTGCCCGACCCGCGAGGACGGCAACACCGTGCTGGGCCGAGGTGGTTGCTGGAAAAAGGGCGTACGGGCGATGCGCGGCAAGCGTGCCCTGAGGCGAGCAGAGCGGCTCGCGCTGGTGGCAGGCGTGGTCTGGTACCGTGGACAGAGGATCAAGCGTGCCTCAGCCGCGCAGCTGGTCACTCCAGAGACTGTCGCGGAGTTGACCCAACTGCCACATCGAGCTGATGATAGAGTATTGGTGAAAGCGAAGAGGGATGACGAACAGCAAGAGCAGTGAGCCACGTGGAAGCAGAGAACACTGAAGGCGCGGAGTTTCAACGTTGAGTCGCTGCGTCGGGTTGGGAGGCTGGACGAGTTATTAGAGTTGGCCAGGAAGGAGAGCGTGGCCATCTTCACCATGCAAGGCACGCAGATGGATCTGGGAAAGACATGGAAGTCGGGCAGTTTCGAGGTGCACTCGTTGGCGAGATCAGGGCGAGGGCAGCGGGGCGGATGCCTCACGGCCATCAATCTCAAGTACTTCCAGAAGGGTGAGGTTAGATGTGAGCACGCATGGTTGGGAGGGAAGCTGCAGGGAGTACGGCTTCGCAGCGTGAGCAAGAAGAGGTTCGAGCGGGACATCTACGTGCTGAGCGGCTACGCTCCCACTAACGAGGCTGGACATGCACCGACAGGAGTTGAAGCTATGGAGTATAGAGAGAAGCGCCTCGAGGCCAGAGATTTGTTCTGGCAGGTGCGTCGCCGTGCAGTCGGCCAAGTGCCAGCCAGGGCGTCGCTCATTGTCGCGCTGGACGCTAACGCACACGTCCCGCCGATGCTGCCTTGGGTGGGTTTCGCTGGCGTGCGTAGGAATGGCCCAACGATTAACGCCAACGGTCACGGGCTGATGGAGCTCATGGAGGATTACGGGCTCATGGCACTGAAAACGTTCGGCAAGAGAGGAAGATTCAACGGCACGTGGGGGAGCCCGCGAGGCACGTGGACTACAATTGAGTACGTGTTGGTGCGACGGCGAGGAGGATACGGACACTCGTCGTTTTCCCGAGGGCTGATCTCCCATTGAACCTGGGCGATTACAGGGGCCACATGCCATTGGAGTCGCGCATATATGTGGGTGTGAAGACAAAACCAGTGAAAGAAGCAGGAAAATTCCGATGGCGGAGGGAGCTCATGAATGCAGACTTGTTGAAGGTGCAGCAGGCGGAGGAGGATTCGGACAACCAGGTTGGGCTCCCCGACCGCGTGCTCAACTTCAGGCTTAAGGTCTTGGAGGGACTTGAGGCCAATGGGCTCCAGGAGGACTGGGCTGACATCTGCGGGGCGGGCAGGCGATGCGAGTCCCTATCGGAGTACTTCAATGAGCTCGAAGGAGTTGTGATCGAGGCGGCGATGCAGGACTACATCTCGCCACCAGTGGCGGAGAAGGGGGTCGGCGCAGTGTTCAGCGACGAGACGGTGAGGCTGAATAGGTCAAAGCAGTACTGGCAGTATCAACTGGCAGCCCTTCCTGATGGTGCTCGGTGGTTGCGTGCGCATTTTCAGTCGCGGTTCAACGAGGCGGCGAAGTTGGCGAAAGCGGCTATGAGGAGTGAGAAACGGCAGAACACGGTAGTTCTGGCGGGAGAGGCGGAGCGAACGGCAGGCCAGAGAAACTTGAGGCGCCTCCACAACGTCGTGAATAAGTTAGCTCCCAAGCCCGCAGCCCCCATCATGGCAGTGAAAGATCCAGACAGGGCTGCCGTGTTTCGACGCTGAGGACGATCAGCGCGCGCGCATTCAGAGCTTCTGTGAAGCGTGCGACGGCCAGGCGATGGAACTAGACGATCGACCCCCCCCCCCCCCCCCCCAGGCCGGCAAGAATGTGCGCGACGAAGATAGGATTGGCAGCTGCGACCTGGCGGCGGTGAAGGAGAGCATCATGGAGTTGCCCAACTTGAAGGGTGGGCCCACGCTGAGGTGGCCTAAATTGGGGCCGCCTGGAGGCGCTGTTGCTGAATCTTGTAAGCTGGCGATTGACGCGCTCGCGCCGCCCATCTTGCAGGTCCTTAACGCGGCTCAGTCTCTGGGCGACGCCCCGCAGAGGTTCAGGGGCGGCGAAACCATGCAGTTGCGCAAGCCAAAGGGAGATGGATGTACGGCTTCGAAGGACTATCGCACCATCAACCTGATCAGTCGCGCGGGGAAGGCGTGCGCCAAGGTCGCGTCGCTTGCTGCGGCGAGGGAAGTGGCGCATAATATCTCACCGACTCAGTTTGGAGCCATGCCAGGGAGAGGTGCACGCGATGCAGTAGCAGTGGCAGGAGAAGTGATTGTGCGCCATCAGCGAGCACATCGAGCAAAAAGAAGAGGGAGCTCTTCCGACCCCCCGCCTATGCTGTTGGCAGTTCTCACAGACATCGAGAGGGTATTCGGCGGGGTGGTCCGGGAAAACATTTGGAAAAGCCTGGGGGCGCTCGAAGTCCGGTGGGGTGCCCGAGTCACTCTGGAGGGGCCCCACGAAGGCATGTGCTATCTGTTCCGAGGCGTTACTACTCACGAGCCTGCGGCACGGATTTGGGTCAAGCAAGGAGTGCGACAGGGGGGTGTTGAGAGTCCTGGGCTATATGGGATAGTATATCGCATCTCGAAAGAGCTTCGCCAACAGGAGGTTACTGCCATCAATGTGCATTTCGACCCCACGTTGAAGAATAATCGGAGCAATGACGGCTTGAAGGAGGAAGAGTGCGAGGAGCTGTATGTCTCGCCTTTTTATGTTCTTGGACGACTTGCTCACGTTCTCAGAGATCGAGGAGTACGACGATGCATCCATCATCCTGGAGGCGCTGCAAGGCGAGATCAAAGCAGGAGGTATGTGCGCCAACACCAGGAAGACGGAGATGCTGCTCACGCCGACGGGAGTTGGGAGTGAGAAAAGGTTGAAGGATATTCGCGCGCAGAACACAGGCATCGTGACGTGGGACAGGGGACGACTATTTCCCACTGCGTCCACAACCGACTGTCAAGTACTTGGGTGTGCAGCTGGCGGCGACGGGTACGCACTACGTCGAGGTCGCCAACCGCATCAGGGCCGCTAACTCCACCCTTGCGCGCCTGCTCCGCCGCGCATTCAAGAGCGGGTTCAGCCCTAAGTTGAAGATCGGATTATGGAAGGCATTGGAGCGCTCAGTGTTTGTACTGCTTGCCTCTCCAAGAGGGGGCTCAACCGGCTGGAGAGCTGGCAGGTGAACAAACTTCGAGGTTTATTGAATTCGCCAGCTCACTTGTACAAGAAGACCAACCGTGAGATCAGGAAGCAGGCCCGCACCCCGACGGTTACGAGCACGTTGTTACTGCGGAGACTGAGATGGTGGAGGAAGGTGTTGTGGCCAGCCTTCAGGGAGCCCAGCGACGACCTGTACGACCCGACGTTTGCGGTCAGAGCAGTCGTCTTTGGGCGCTTCTCGTTCGAGCAGATCGGCCAGGGGGAGCAGTCGGGTCTGCTGGCGCTGCTGCTAGAGGACATGCGGCAGATGTGGCAAACTGCGGACGCCTAGGAGAAGCTCGCGGCCCGTCGGCTGTTTCTGCTGCGCGGCGACTCTCCTGGGCTGGCTGAGCCATGGCTGCGCTGGCTCGCTTCCCTTGAGAAGCGCAGCTTCCGCCGTGTGCTGACTTACGGCGGTGAGATGGGCACTGTGACTGACACGGCAGCCATCATGTGGCTGGAGCGCGACCTGCGTGGGCAAACATGCAACGGGGAAAAGGGGTTAGCCAATCACAAACACGCGGCCCACAAAGTATATGCAAACCCAACACCAGAAGCCCTCGCAGAGATGGATTCTGAATTAAAGGTATGTCCACACTGCCAGAATATATTCACGAGAAAAGACACGCTGGTAAGACACATTAAACAGAGACGTCGCACTGTCCGTTCCAGAGAAGTTGAGGCTCAAGCTCAACATTCAGAACTACCCGAGCCCGCTGCCCCCCCTGCCGTACCCGTACTTGCTGCAGCGGGCGATGTTCAAGCCGATAGGCGAGGCGCAGGTGACGGTGGGCAGCAACGAGGGCAAGAGGGCGGCGGCCGAGGCAGGGGTCGTGGGCGAGGGCAAGGGCGACCAGCCCGACGTGGTGGGCCCCTTGGCTAAGGCGCTCGCACGGCTGGTCCTGCAGCACGAGGACATGGCGAGGTCGGCGCACAGGGGCCTTCAATTTCGTGATCCCGCCCAAGCCGACGCAGAAGATGGCGACCGCGCTGGGCCAGGCCTTGGCGCACTACGAGGAAGAGGGCACCAAGGCCAAGGATAAGGCGAAGGAGAAGAAGGATGACTTCATGGGCATCCCACTCGGCAAGCGCCCCGACGCGCTGGCGAGGGCAGTCCTGTTCCGCATGTCGGAGGCCGTGGAGGACAAGAAGGACGCGGTGCTGGCGGCCGTGGAGCAGGGCATCGAACCGCAGGCCGCCGAGGCCGCGCTGGACGAGCTCCTGAAGTTCGGGAAGATGGTGCAGGACCCGCAGTTGAAGTTCGCGGCGACGAGGTGCTTCAAGGTGAAGAGCAAGAACGACGAGGGGGGCATGGAGGCAGGAGAGTGCAAATGGATCTTCGCGGTGAACCACTACCCAGGGCTGAAGGAGTCGCTGAAGGTGCTGAGGCGCAATGGCGCTCTGGCCGCTGTCGGGGCGAGCCTCCAGTGCGACATCGCGACGAGGTCGACGGCGGCGAAGGAAGTGGAGTCGTTGGCGCTCAAGGGCGGCAAGGGGACGCAGACGAACAGGAGCAAGAAACTCAGGAAGAAGTAGGAGCTAGAGCGACGCCACCTGCTCTGGCTACAGCTGCGAGGCCAGCACCTACACCAACACCGACGCCATCACCAGCACGTGAGGGGAGAGGCTATGCCACTGCCGCCGGGAACAGTACTTCTTCCTCCGCCTCTATCTCGCCCTCTTACCTCCCTCTCCCTCTTCCGACCTCACAAACGCAGCTCGAGAGATACTTTCGCAGGGGGCCACGCTAAGAATGCGGTGGACATTTTGCGCCTTCCCCCTCGCCAGAGGGGGGGGGAGCCGCCCCCGCAAGTGCCACTCCCGTAGGGGTGGGGGTGCGCGGGAGCGGGGCTGAGGCCAGTCGGGCCTGCCGCTCCGCACCCGCTCTCCGTTCCACGGCCTCGTTTCCGATTTTGAAACGCCCCGCGTCGTTTTCACGGTTGTGCTGGTGCCCCCACTAAACTTCCGAGGCTAAGGGAGTCGCGTTGAAAAAGGAAGGCCGGCGGAAGCCGACGGAAGTGAAAGATGCGTCCCCCAGAGATGGCAGCAATTTTGGGTTCAGAGTTTCTGGAGCCCGCCACGTGTCACCCTTCCCCCTTCCCTTCCCTCCCCTCCCTCGAGTGTCGTCCTCCCCTTTTTTTCATCACGGGGTTCGTTTTGCGTTTTGTTGCTTGGTTTTGCTTCGAAGCAACGACAAAGAAGGCCGGCGCCGTGACCCGCCGTGACCTGAATGGAAGGACAAGCTCGCAGTGGGTCGGGGATTCTTTTGGCTGAGTGGACAGGAAGATCGGGAAGGACAACTGTTCAAAGTAGTGGATGGGGCGTGTGCGGCGGGCGAGGGGGAGTTAGACCTGGAGAGAGCGGCCCAGAAGGGCGACATAGTGGATACAGGTTCTGTCGTGTCGTTTTGTTTCGCGGCGCTTGGAGGTCTGGGGCCTGCTCTCTCAAAGTCGACCTCTGGACCCGTCCCGTGGAGCGTCTGGGCCAGGATTTCGAGGCGACTGCAGCCGCGGCGACGAAGATCTTTCGGACGGCCAGCAGCATTCCCCCACCTCCTCATCTTTGACCTCCTGCGGTCACCTCGCCGACATGTTGGCCTCCCCCCCCGGTGGTCAGTCTGTGTTTTTCTCGCCATCGGGCGTCTGAGGGAGGATACGAGAGCGGCGCAGACATCCCATAATGGAACTCCCGCGGTCACCTCGGCGAGACGGTGCCCCACCCTGGCGGTCAGTTGGTTTTTCTCGGGCAGAGGCCGCTGGTGTAACGATGCGGCAGCATTGGGTGCAGACATCCCTATTGCCCCGCATGGGCCTGGAAGAGATGTCACATACTAGCCGCACGCCCCTCTGGCGCCGTGTCGTGTCCTCCTCGGCCTGGTCCTGGGACGGCAGGAGGGCGTGTGCTCCTTGCCCACCGGCAAGACGCCGGAGTACTTCATCAAGTGGGTTCAGAGGGCGCTTAAAGAGCGGGGGCCTCAGGGTCGGGATCGTCCGCGACTGTGCCGCGCGCGGTCTCAGGCATCGACGTCTTGAATTGATCGACGTCTTGCAACGCACGGCATTGGCCTACTACTTTCGGCGTATCTCGCGTTCGGCGGAAGGCGGTGGAAGTAAAGCGGCGTGGGTTCCGCCAGTCGAAGATCGGGAAGTATGAGTGAGACGCCGACATGTTTGCATCCCTGGATGTGTGGAGTCGGCCGAATCAAAGCGGAGACGAGCGAGAGAGGCTCGAGCGGAATGGGGGGAGCGCAGGGAACGCGCATCTCTAATCTTTCCAGGCATCCTCACGAAGGAGCCTTCGTATCCGCGGCCAGAGCCCCGCCCCGAGGTCCCGACCGGATGAGGGGCGGGCCTCTCCGGGGACCTGGGGCACTAAAGTGCGGCAGGGCAGGAGAGCACGTCGGGAGGCGGGGTGTAGGTGTTCATACCCCGCGAGGTAGCGGCCACCCCGCGCGTTGTGCCAACACCCCGCAGGGCCTTGAGGCCATCGGCGCCGGGGCGGGGGCGTCGTCCCTCAGCACTTGGCCCTGCGGGGGGCAGGCCGCAGCCCGCAGGGGGAAGAAGAGGGAGGGGCAGGTGGGTGACGCGCGGGTCGGGGCAAACGCGGGGAGGGGGAGGGGGTGTTATTAGGCGGACGGGGGAGCGGGGGGAGGGGAGGGGGGAGCGCTGCAAGGCGGAGGGAAGGGGGGGGGGGGATCAGGCGGAGAGGGGGGGCAAGCCAGGCAGAGAGGGGGGGGGGGGGGGAAGTGGTATTAGGCGGAGGGAGGGGGGGGGCACGGATGGGGGGGGGGAAGGGAGGGCGGGGTGCCCGAGGCAGTACCCCGAGAAATGCTCGGCCTCGCGTCTCTCGGCGATGCTGATGGGCCTGTTTCCCACCACCACCACAAGAAGTTGGAGGGGGAGGGGGTCCTCCTCCTCCTCCTCCACCTCCTCCTCCTCCTCCTTCTCCTCTTATGGTGGTGGTGAAACATAGGCCCATCAGGTGCGGTTTTTCTTGTCCCGGGGACTCGGCGTGTATCAAGCCCGCGCGCGCGGCGAGTAGGAAAGTCGGGCCAGTTGACGGCCTCACCCGATCGGGGGTCAACCCGACGTGCCCGCCTTGGCGGCTACGCATGGTGCGGTTCCGCCGCGGTGTGGTTTGCGATCTGCGGCGTTGGGGCTGGGGGGGGCGCTGCGTTGCCCTCGTCTGGTCTCGTCGTGGCATGGCGGAAAACTCTGCCGAGTTCTCGCCCGTCTCCCTATAGGTGCGGGTTGCAAACCGCACCCTTTGCAGACCACACCGTTCGGAGTCGCCGTCCGCCACCCGAGATGGTCGAGGAGGGGGGGGAGGGGGGAGGGCGAAGGGGGCCCGCTAAAGTGCAGCAGGGATGGGAGATGGGTAGAGGGCATGCTAGTTGCACTCGCGCCATGTCTGACGTCCCACCCCTCCCACTCCCGTCCCTTCCTGCGTTGTTTCTTCTCTATTCGCGGACGCCTGCCATAGCTGCCATAGCTGACCTGGAACTCCCAAACAGACCCCATCGTGTTATGCACAGTATGATAAGGGGTACACGGGGAGCTGTGTACAGAAGACTAGGAGGAGGAGGAGGAGGAGGAGGAGGAGGAGGAGGAGGAGGAGGAGGAGGAGGGGGAGGAGGGGGAGGGGGAGAAGGAGGAGGAGAAAAAAGAGGAGAATAAGGAGGAAACGGAGGAGTATGAGGACGCAGGAGGACGAGGGCGATTACCAGCAGCAGGAACTGGAGTGGAAGGAACTGGAGGAGCAGGAGGAGCAGGGGAAGGCCGAGGAGGTGAGAGGATGGCGGCGACAACGATGAGGAAGGATTCGGATCCAAACAAGTCAGGTGGCCCGCGCAGGGGCGAGAGCGCCATCCTGAGCGACGGGAGCAATAGGCCGCGATTCTAAGATACGGGCTGCGCTTCAGCGAGAGCACCAGCCTGGAAGGACCGAGGCCGTCTGGGCCAGGAAATGCACATGACGAAAACACAACTTGGACCCACCCTGTGTGGAAAGAGGAACGAGGAGGGGGCGAGCGCGACCCTCTGGACGTCTTCGGGGAAGAGAGGAGAGTGGTGGTCACGGTGTGTACCTGTAGACATGGGAGGGGCAGGAGTCTTTCTAGACCAGCAGTAGGTTTCACTACATTATGTTATTCGGGATTCTCATAGGGGGTTCGAGGAAGTTCGAGGAGGAAGAGTGCACGATCCCATTCTGGCGCAGTCCCCTCATGTCCAGAGCGGCGGAGTGAATGCGCACCCTGATTGTTCCTTGCGCCTCGGGAGTGTCGCAACCACAGGATCAGAGACACGGAGCAGCACGGCCAGGGGCAATGGTGAACGTGTGGCTACTTGAGGTGGTCGACGCCAGCAATCCAAGACGAGGTGAAACGATTCGGGCTGCTGCCAGAGAAGCCTGTACTGACGGGCCTGACCTTTGTACAGATCGATGAGTTTTATCCTATCTCGCCGGATGGGAAGGGGATGGGTTTGCCGTAATGTTCGCAGGGCCGGTGGCGTTAGCGCTCAAAGGGTACGGTGAGTTGTTTGTTTGGTATTCGTTTCCTTGTGCGATGTGCGACTAGGTCTCTTTGTCATGTGTACGGGTACAGATGTCTGCACCTACCTGCATATGTGTATATATGTGTGTATGGGTATACATATGTACACATAAATATACAAATCTACGTATGCATATATACGTGTGTCTATGGATGTTTAGGTGTATAGCTTTGTCAATGTTTTTGTTATTATGATTACTTAGCTATATATGTACACATGGGCATATCTACGTATGTCTTGCAATGCGCTGTTACTTTATGTGTGTCCCAATTTCTCTTTGAACTTATGGGCTCTTGCATGCCATCGCCGCCCCGTCGTCGCCCGTGGCTGCCGCCCCGTTCCGACCCCCCCTTTGCAGTCCAATCGAGTGCAACCCAACCGATTGCAACCCAATCGATTGGGGTCCGATCGATTGGGTCAATCGATTGGGGCACATAGATTGCACCACATTCGTTGCATAACAGACATTTCACCAGGCAGAATGCACCTCATATATAGCATCACGTAGATCTCACCACATATATTGTACCACATACGCTGCTCCTCATGTATTTATCCACGTAGCCTGCTCCACATAGACTGCACAACAGACATCGCACCACACATAGTGAAGCGCATCTATTGCTTCACGGAGATGGCACAACATCAATTGTACAGCATAGGCTGCACCGCGCATATTATCCTTTCCAGAGGGGTTTTAGCATCTCCCCCCAGAATTGACGGCCCCCCGTTTCGTATAGCAAGTTGCAAATGATTTCGCCCCACCGTCCAACCGAAATACGGATTCGTACCATCCCAGGAAGGCCCGCTTCGGTACCTGCCCTCATCTTCTGCCAAGAAATGCATGCGCACACACTGGTTCGTCAAAGTTCATCCGTTTCCATAGATCCCTTGTAGAAGCAAATGCCGGGAAGAATTGCACACGCGCGCGTCGTCGCGCGCGCATGCCGGAATCCTTCCAAATATCTTGGTGTCGTGAGGATCTCAAAATGGAGTGCCCCGAAACACATAAAATACATGGTTTCGCAACAAGAGCTTTCACAAAACACTTGCGCTTGGGCCCTCGCGACAAGCAAACTTTGGAATGTTTTCAAGCATTGTCATACCTTGCTACCGAACGGGCCTTTCGCGCGCGCGTATCGGAATCGTTCGAACGCCCTTGCGCACGTGTTGTCGCACGAACCCTTTCAAAAATCAAGAGAATTGCACGCGCGCGTCGTCGCGCGCCCATGCCGAAATCCTTGGGAACCTTAGGTTTCGTAGGTAGAGATTTGGAAATCGAGAGCCCCGAAAACATTGAAACGCATGGATTTGCAGCATGAGTTTTCAGAAACGCCTGCGGTCGGTCGCGCTCCGGCGAATTCGTCAGACAACCATTGCCATTAAATTCGGCCAAACGGGCGTTTCGCGCAGCACGTGCGCGCGCGTGTTGGGTGGGGCTCGGTCTGTGTCAAATAATACCATGCGGGCTCTGTCGCGCGTCGGCCGCGCGCGCATGTCGAACTCCCTCCAAAACCGTCATCGCCGACGCGAGGGCGCCGTCATCGTCGTCGGCGTGATCAGCATCGGCGCCGTCACTGGCCTTGCCGGTGTCGTTGTCATCATCGTCACCAGCATCGCTACCATCATCATCGCGTCTATCGTTGTCGACGTTGCCATGATACCGCGCCCGCTCAAGTCGCCGATTCGCGCCGAAGTGCCCGCTGGGAAATGCCCAGCGGTCAGCGCCACCGCGGCCGCGCCGGTAGCGCCACGCTATCTGGCCGCTGCGTGCGCGAGCATGCGCGGGCTAGCGCTGCCGCAGAGATACACCAGCCAACCCCAAGCACTCCTCGTAATCGCCGCCGCATCGGTTTTGCAAATAAGTTGCGGGTGCGTGGGTGGGGTGATTTCGCGAGCAGTGGGGTGGGCAATTCAGTGCGAGGAGGCGTTTTTTGCACCACATCGATTGCACAACATAGGTTGCACCACATGCATTGCACTACGTAAATGGCACCACACATATATATATATATATATATACATACATATATATATACAAGGCTGCAGTGGCGCTTCGCGCCATGCACCTTGGTATTTGAGGTTTGGCACGCAGGCGGAATAACCGGAAAGTAAAACCGACAATGTAGCGATAATTCCTGGTTGCCTTTGTTGGCATCGCCGCTATAGTAATATTATTCGTCATCCTTCCTCCATGCTTCTTCTTCCTTATGTTCGCCATACCCTGCGCATTCTCCCCATCCTCCTCAGCTCTTTTTTGCGGAGGCTCTTCCTTGGAGAGCCTCTAGGGGCCTCACAAAAGTTGTTTTGGGTGTCTTCTGGGGGCCTCCGGGGGCTTCCTCGGGCCACCCTGCCTCCAACCGCGGTCTCCCTGAACGACCGAATCACGATTTGGAGTTCTTCGGAGGGTGTCTTTGGGCCATCTTGGGCCGCCATGGGGCTCTCTGAGGGCCATCTTGGACCTGTGTTGTGCCGTTTTGGGGCTCTCTCGGACTGGCTGGAAGCCCTTTCGAATGGTTGTGGAGCGATTTTTGAGCCTCCCAGGCGGCTTCGGACGCTCAGAAGACCGCCGTCTTGGAGCGTCGGGAAGCAGAAAAGAGGAGAACCCCCCAATTCACCAAAAACCAACAGAAAATCAATGATTCTTGCCTTGGGGGGCCTTCGTGGGAGTGTTCTTGGAAGCCTCTTTGGGGCCGTCCTGGAGGCCTCTTGGGCCATCTTGATGTCACGTCGGTCACTCTTGGAGCGCTCTTGTGCTGTCTTGGGGGTCTCTGGGACGTCTCCGATGACCCCCCTGATCGCCTTAGGTGTGCTGGGAAGGCTTGGCAAAGCGCCCTGCGAGGCCCGGTGGCCGCTTCGAGGCCCGTCCCGAGGGTCCCAAAGCCCCAGATCCCGGGAGTCCCGTTTTGGGGGGGGAGGGGGGGGGACGGGTTTCCCCCCGCCCGGGCTTATAAACATATAGGATGAGGAATCTATACATTTATATATATATATATACATATATATATATATAGATATATGTGTGTCTAGGTCTACACAGCTTGCGCAGCATACGTTGCTTCACCCAGGTTGCACCACCTAGATTGCACCATGCAGAGTGCCCCACATGTATTGCTCCACGTTGGTTGCGCAACAGATCGCACCACTTAATTTGCACAACATATAATGCTCCACATGGGCTACAGCATCACATATATTGCTACACATCTCTTGCACCACAGAGGTTGCACCACATCGAGTGCTCCACATATTTTGCACCATCGCATTGCTAGAAGCATTCGGTTCGGGGCCATGCTGGCTAGCATGGTTTTTATGTCTACATATCTACTCACTTTCCCGAACGCCTGGCAAAGAGGCATCGGGATGCAGAAACATGTCCAACACTCTCTGTCGTGATGCTTTTCAAAAAGAAGAGGTGGAGGTCCCCCCGTGCCCCGACCTGGCGGGCCCAACTCCCTCGCCAGGGCTGGCAGCGCGGGCGCGTGCGCAGTCTCTGTGCTCTGCAGCCTTCGGACGGCCGAGCTCTCCCGGAGGCGTCTCGTGTATGCTGGCTGTGTATATGTTGTGTGCTGCGGTGCGACTGTTTCTCGTGTGCCCCTCCCTCTTTCCTGCCGCACTGTTTAGCCACCCGTGCTCTTTTACCAGCCCGTCAACGAGCGAGAGCTCGCCGAGTGAAAGTGTGTGTTTGCGTGTGTTGTGCGCTGGGCCTGGCCGCGCGCCTCCGCCTGACTTGACCTACGCCAGCGCGGGCTTGGCCGCGACACCACGGAAATGTGTGTGTGTGTTTGTGTGTTTCTGTGTGTGTGTGTTTGTGTGTGTGATGCTTGTTGTGTGCTTGCTGCTGGTGCTGGTTCTCCTTGCGTTCCTCCCCTGCTGCTTCCTTCAATCTTCCGAGCTACGGGGCGCCTTCGCCCGAGACGATCCCGCATCCGCCCCTCGGGGCCGGACCCCGGGAACCTCTGGGAACTTCCAGTCGTGGACACGCGTGCTGCCACTCCCCGTGGTGCTCGAGGCAGGGCGTCGGGGGCCAGCGGTGCTGCCGACTCCCTGCGGTTCGACGAGACGCGCCCGAGCAGATTTGCTGTTGTCACCCCAAGCAGTGATTGCGCCCAAGTTCTAAGGGGTTGGATGGGTGTTCCCCGGGGTGTCTACTTGCGCTTCTGAGGGTGTAGGTGGGTGTCCCGAGATTCGCCACGTTCCGGCCTGTTGCCGCCCCGGTGCCGCCCCGTTGCCGGCCGCTGCCGCTTGTTGGGGGGTGTCCCAAGGAGTCGCCGTGTTCCGCCCGCAGCCGCCCGTTGCCGCCTGTCGGGGTGCCACGAGGAGTCGCCACGTTCCGGCAGTTGCCGGCTGTTGCCGCCCGTGGGGGTGTTCCCGGGACTCGCCGCCACGCTCCAGCAGTTGCCGCCCATTGCTGCCTGTGGGGGCACCCCGCGGATTCACAACATGCCGGCCCCTCGCCGCCCGTTGCCGCCTGTGGGGGTGCCACGAGGATTTGCCACGTTCCCGCCCCGCTGCCGCCCGCTGCCGCCTGCGCTGGTGCCACGAGGATTTGCCACGTTCCCGCCCCGCTGCCGCCCTTTGCTGGCCCTTGCCGCTTGTGAGGGTGTCCCGAGGGTGCCTAATTTTTTTGACGAAGAACAAGAGAGTGCCTCTTTATTGCTTGGGGCATCATGGGCATTACAGCCACCCGACCCCCCCTCCCTCCCCTCCCCTATAACGTAACGCGCTCCTCCCCCCCAGTGCGCTCTGGGCACTGCCGCCGTGGCACGGTCAGGGGGACTCCCTGACCCCTCCCCCCCCCCTTTATAATGCCCATTACCACCGAACATAAGAAACGCGCCCCAGCCGCAGAGACGCTTGTGCCATAATTTTGTGCTCTGGGTCCACGCTGGCAGCCTCTTGTTGGCGCCAAGAGGGTACCCCTGGCCGAGTCCTAATAGCTCCCCTGCCCAAGCGTTTCTCGTAATTTCCTCATGGTCCGCTTTTTGTTTTCGTTTTGCCGAGGGCAGACGCCGGGGCAAAGGTGAGCCCTCTTCCCCAATCGACGCTCTCCCCCTCTTCCCCTCTTCCGCCCATCCTCCCATTGCACCCCCATGTCCCCCCTTTTTTCGCTTCCCTGGCCCATCCTCTCCTCTCCTCTTTCCATGGACATGCTCCTCGGGAGCGTCAAGAAATCCCCAGCCCCAAGAAATCGTCTTCACATGATTTGCGTGACTTTGTAACTCCCGTGGTGCTTGTCAGCATGTTTGGAGCAGAATGATGAACAGGAGGGGGGGGAGGGAGGACATGGAGAAGGCTGGTTGTAATATGCCAGGCAAGTGGGCATGGCACCTTCAGCAGATGGGTTGTTTTTTAAGGTACTCGATGTTCCGTGTGCGTTTGTGCTTCGTTTGCCATCGGGCGGGGCATTTGGCAGGAACAGCACAACAGTTTCTACCATTACGTCACGAATTTTTACATCAAGGGCTTTGGGCTTGACCCTAATAAGGCTGCCTGGCCAGCCAGCTACTTTCGGTAAGTGTACGGGATTCCGTGGGTATTGAATTGACCATGAGGTCGGAGGGGGAGAGAAGGAGCTTGCGGCACGCGTTTGAAAAGTGGCGCGGACGAACGACACGTTTAGGTGTTACGCAGTGAGTTCGAGCCAAGTGGCGGTTACCAAAACGTCGTTGGCGTGTCATTTGTGCGACGCAAGGGGCATCCCACCTTCCGCTTCTATACTGTATGGACGATCAAGGGTCGCTAGTTCATTTGGATGTGACAGGACGGGCCAAATCCATCATGGTGATCTGGAGACCTTGTAAGACGTCACGCTCACGGTGTTTGGATGGCGATGCGTCAAAAGTCGTCTTCAGCCTGTGCGACAAGCTTGCCGTTGTACTTTGTGGAGCTAGAGGTTTCCCGTTCTCCTGCATTCACCACTTGCACATTGCATTGGTCGTTGCATGTTGAGCTCGTGCTACATGATAGGTTCTCCGCATCAGCTTTCCAGAGCGGGTCCTTCCCCTCCCGTCCGCGTCATTGCCTCCTCCCCCTCCTCCTTACCATCCTTCTCTGCTTCCACTTTTCCTCACTGCCCCATTGCTTATTCTTCTCATCCCTCTCCTCATCACAGTCTCCTTGTTTCATTGCCGTCCTTCCTCTTCTCCCCTCATGACCCTCTTCCATCTCTCCTCCTCTTCCTCCTCTTCCTCCTCCTCCTCCTCCTCCTCCTCTTCAGTTCTCATTACCCTCCTACTCTGTCCTCTCCATCCTCTCCCTCCTGACCCTCATGCCCCGTACCATCCGTCTCCCTGCCCTCCACCCCCATCCGCTCCTTCCTTCCGCATTAGCCCTCCACCCACCCTTACCCTCGTCGTCGTCCTCATCTGCCACTCGTTCCCACCCTTGCCCTTTCCTCCTCCTGCCACTAGTCCTAATCCTTCCCCTGCTCCGCGTCTTCCCCCTTCCGCCTCCGTCTTGTCATCCTCGTCCCACGCCCTTCCTGCCCTCCTGCCCCTCCTTCTCTTTACTGCGCCCTGATCCTCGTCCTCCCTTTCCCTACCCAGCTCATCCACCTCCTCCATATTCTCATCCCCCTCCCCCTCTTTACGCTCCTTCTCCTCCAAACTCCTCCCTCTCATTATCCCTGTCCTCTCCCTTCTCCCTATCCAGACCTCCGATGTCCTGATTTTGTTCCTGCAGAGTCCCCGGAGCTCATCGGAGCTCTACCATGAAGCGTACCCATCGTGTTGCTTCAGTGCGTTGGAGGTTTGGGTGCGCTTCCCAGATGTGGTCCGAGTTGATGGGGTTGGAGCAACGCGATGCGGCTCGATGAGGAGCCAGATTTTCTCCACGCCAGCGTCGCCGATGCACCGCCGACGTCGCCGATGCATCGGCGATGCATTGGCGATGCAGCGAGATCATCCGACCCCGATCAACTCGGACCCCATCTGGGAGGCCTCTACACTCAACCCGCATAGTAAGGATGAGCAATTTTCTGAGGTTGCCCATGCATCGTTCCCTTTTGGCCCATCCTTGTCCACTGCCGCTGACCGGGCCCCGCTCGCAATGTGTCGACATGGCCTTCAAATGCCCCTGCATCCTTATCGTGTCTCCTTATTGCATGGGTTGACTGTACACGCCGGTCGTTGAAAATATGCATCTTTGGACTCCCAGGTCCTACTTCCATAGTTCAAAAGTCGATGTGCTGTTGCTGTGTTCTGCTATTCTCTGGGAGCGCCTGGAGCCAGTCTACTTTCTCCGCCCTCCTGCTTCATGTTTTTTCCTATTTCTTCCGGCGACGTGTTCCTCCTTCCCAGACCCCCGACGTCATGATTTTTTCGTCGCCCCCCAGATGTTTCGACCTACTCACCGGGACAGGTTCGTCATCCTGCGTCGTTTTTCGACGGTCCTGACGCCTGGCAAAGAGTCGTGAAAACGTCCCGGCGTGTTTTTTGATTCTTCCTGTCGCTAACATGGCGGAGCGTATTTCGTTCGGAAAACGATAGGATGGGTCCAGAGTGTCCTGGAGAGTCCTTTTGGATTTCGCAGTGAATTTCGCGCGCATTTGTTTCTGGGGCCAGGAACGAAACCCCCCGAACAGATCCACGCGAAGCTCGCTTCCCCTTTTCGCTCGCAGCCTCTGGACCGAGCTCCACGCAGGCACCCGCGCCACAAGCCGCTGCAGCACGCCTGCAGGGCCAGCGCGGTGCCCTTCTCTCCGGGGGGGGGGCCTGGGCCCGCCGCCCCTCCCCGCACAGGCGCTGCTGATGGACTGCTCCAAGATCGGCCTCGGCAGCGCCGGGCCCAGCTTCGGGCCGACCGGCGAGCCGCAGGAGCCGCGGCGAGCTCGGGGCGCCGCCTCGGGGAGGACGTCCTCGGAGGAGGTCCGGCAGTGGCGGAGCTTCTTGATTCGGGTCGGGCAGGTCCCTCTACAGGAGGAAAACTCAGAGAACTGTGTGGGGACGATGCCGCGATGATTCTTTTTGTGTCGAGTCTGTGTTTGCTACTCCTTAGATCATCCTTCCGGCATCCGCCTGTAGGAGGACATGCCCGACCTAAGTCTTGATCTGCCTGCGGTCGAGGCTTCCAAGATCCAGACATGCTCGCGTCGTAAAACGATCGCCATGGCAGGTGTTTGGCCATGTATGAGGACGTACCCGACCCAATTCTAGGTGGGGAGCTCTCTTAGCAGACGGTTCCATGGGCCTTCGCTCAGGGAGCTCGGAGGGGGAGGGGAGGCTGGGAAGGAGGGGGCTTCAGCAGCAAGTCGCTCGGCGGCGAGCGAGGGTGGGAAATGAGATGGAGAAAACCTTCTTAGAAGGCGGCGGGATTTCTCAGAACCCTCGCGCCTACTACGAGGTGTTTTTAATGCCGTCGGGGAAAGTTTAGCAGAACACTTCTCAGAGGGCCGGGGGGGCTCCCGAGCCTTCTGAGAAGGCCCGCCCCTTCTCACTTCCCCTCCTCGCTCGCCGCCGAAAGAACGTGGGGGGTCGGTAGCAAGTCACGGGAGCCTGGCATACCCTTGTAATGCCGTCTTTAGCGCCAGTTAGCGTCGATTGGCGTCTGGGAGGCGATGAGGCAGCGCCGATTCAGCGTCGGCTGGCGTTCATTTGGCGTCGATTCAGCGTCGATGTAGCGTCGACTGCGCAAGAGCCGACAAGATGTTGTGGGAGGCTCCCATGAGTTGACACCGAAAGGGGGGGAGGGCCGCGGACAGCTGCAGCGCCCGCAGAGCGCGAAGCACTGCGGAATGTGCTAGAGGTAGGCTCATCAGTGCGTCTGCGGAGGCACTGCAACTCCAGGGACAGCTTGACCGACCTCAGGACGGAGGTTGTGGTTTCGTCGTTTTCGGCGCCTCGGGGCCCTAGCCGGGCCCTCGGGAGTGTCAAAAGCTGATCTGGGACGATAAGCGGGTCCCCCAGAAGTGATCCAGAGTTCCAGAGGCCCCTTATTGAAGTAGCCAAGACGCCGGAGGTCTGGTATGGTTTCGTCGCCGTCGTCGAACGTCGTCGTCGTAAGAGGTGAACGTGGTCGTCGTGGGACGTCGTCGTAGTGGGGACATGTCGTCGTCGTCGTTGGGGGACGTCGCCGTCGGAGGAGGGAGAGGGCTTTACCGTCGTGGCGTCGGCGGCGAAAGGGTGTGCGGCTGGAGAGGAGCGGTCGAGGAGGGGAGATGGAATGAACAGGTGCAGGAGGGCGTGTAGAGGGAAGAGGGAGTGGAGAGGAGGAAGTGGACCACGTAGGGACCAGAAGTGGGTTTGAGGAGGATGATGGTGTTCCCTTCTCGGGAATTTGAGCGACCGCGTTCCAGGACCACGTGAGCATGGACAGGATGGAGGATGTCTGGCCTGACGGTGCCAACTCAGTCCTCATCCTCCTCATCCTCTGTCCCCCTCGCCAGAGGCCAAGACCCCGACATGAACTATGCTTCTTCTACTTAGCTGCTCTGATACGCACGTTCTGAAGCGTAGCACGTGCCGTGTTCAAAACGGCCGTGTTCAAAACGTACGTGTTCAGTCTACGTATTGAGCTCCGTTTCAATACACTACGTGTTGCGCATCGGGGCAGCTAAGTCCCGTAGATCCCGCGTCGTACGAGGTATTACGAGCGGAGACCCCCCACCTTCCCGCGTCGTCCTTCGAGCGGGGTCGAGCCGCACAGGGTCTTCGACGGCGCAAACATACCGCTTGTCGTGTGCGTGTGTGTGCGTGTGCGCGTGCGCGTGCGCGTGCGTGTGTGTGTGTGTGTGTGTGTGTGTGTGCGTGTGTGTTCTTTGCGCCTGGATTGAAGTTGGGCCAGTCACTCTATAGGATGAGTATTCAAAAATGGTCCAAAAATAATCTAGGGACGAATGTTTGATTTTCTTTCCATTTTGGAAATAGTTCTTGAGTGTTTGGGATGTTTCGCCCCAAATTCGCCTGTAGGGGGACAGGCCCGACCTAAGCCTAGATCAGAGGGTCTCTTGTCCTCCTCCATAGGGTTCGTTTGCGGCGCAGGCAGGACACTCCCTGCACGAAGCAGGGCACGACAGACGAACGCAGAGCGCGGCTGCCACAAGGAGGGCGCGAGAGAGGCCCGACCAGCACGTGCATCCTAAGGCCCTGCTCCCAGACCTCCGACGACCCGATTTGTTCGAGTCACTGGGTCCCATGGTAGCTCCTGAGTGTGCCAGCGCTATATCCTGATTCGTTGTTGTTGACGGCCCTGGAGTGAGAAACTGACCGACCGCCTCGATGTCTCTTCGTGGCGCCATAGGCCTGGACTTCGCCCGCGCCACATTCCGCCGGCCACCTCAGTCCGCGAGTAAGAAAAAGTAAATCAATGACCCATTGCTGTCCGGAGCCCAACAGTTTTTGTTGTTTGCTTCTGCTGTTCGTCAAGAAGCCTGAAAGGTGAGACGCTGGCGAGTTCCCCATGGCGGCGTGCCATTAGCAGCCTGCCCCGCGCCCCTTGCGGAAGCGAGCATCGGCATCATAACAAGGGTTTGGCCAGCGCTCGGGCCGGCCCAGTCGACGCAGGTGATTCCCAGCACTGATCTGATTCGTTGCGGCCCTGCGGAGGCAGGCCCACGGCCGATCGGTCAGGTCATTGCTCGGGCGGCCCCGCTGGCACTCACGCAGCCCCCATGAAACCCAGCGCTGATCTGGCTGCTCTGTTGCTCCTCACGCCGGCCCGCACCAAGCAGGGCGTGACTGCCCCCATACGGGCGCGGCTGCCACAAGGAGGGCGGCAAGGAAAGGCCGATGTCGGACGGAGCTAGGACGAAGATACATCCTTTACCGAGCGTTCTGGATCGCTATCAGGGCGTTCCGGAACGCTCTGAGAAGGCCGCGGCGCCCGAGGTTGGATCCCAGAGACTATCTATGTATCCTCGCCCGATGTTATCATCGTCCTGGCTTCGTCTTACCGAAGCGGGCCTCCAAGGATCTGAGGCCCCCGGGCGGTCTCGGGCTGTCCCGCGGGGAGGCCCCCGCGGAGAAGTCCCAGGACATTCTCTGGCGGCTCGCGCGGACCTCGCTGAGGCTTCGCCAGCCGGCGAAGGGCGCACGCCGACCAGGCGGCCTGGGCGCTTTTGCTCGACTGATTCGGGAGGACGCCAGCCACATGCACCCACGGCCGACCTCGGCCGCGTCGATCTCGGCCGCGTCGCTTCCAACGCCGGTCTCGGCCGCGTCGCCGTGACTTCGGGAGGCCCTCTCCTAGGGGACCTCGCCGAGGCTCGCGGGGACCTCGCTCGCCCTCTCCAGGCGACCGCCCCGAACGGGGCTGGGGAGCGAGCCGTAGCGTATACTGCACCGTACCGCGACACGCCCCGAGAACGTCCAGCAGGAGCCCCCCGAGATTGTGCTTCTGTCTTGAGGCGGGGCCCAGAGGTCTGGACCCCTTCCCGGTGACCGGCTTTTCACTCTGAGTTGGAGGTTTTCTCCGAATGGCTTGGGCGTCCCGTCCTCCTCCTCCTTCATCTCCTCCTCCTCCTCCTGCTCCTCCTCCTCCTCCCTCCTCCTCCTCCTCCTCCTCATCCACATTCTCCTCCTCCTCCTCCTCCTCCTCCTCCTCCTCCTCCCTCTCCCTCCTCCCTCTCCTCCTCCCTGTCCTCCTCCTCCTCCTCCTCCTCCTCCTCCTCCTCCTCCTCCTCCTCCCCTCCTCCTCCTCCTCCTCCTCCTCCTCCTCCTCCTCCTCCTCCTCCTCCTCCTCCCTCCTCCTCCTCCTCCTCCTCCTCCTCCTCCTCCTCCCTCCTCCTCCTCCTCCTTCTCCTGCTCCCCCTCGCCCCCTCGTCCTCCTCCTCCTCCTTCTTTCTCCTTTCCTCCTCCTTTCCTCCTCCTTTCTTCTCCTCCTCCTCCTCCTCCTCCTCCTCCTCCTCCTCCCTCCATCTCCTCCTCCCCCTCCCCCTCCTCGGGTCGCCTACGGCCCTTGGGGAAACCGTGCAGTCTGGACCCCTTCCCAGTGACCAGCTTTTCACCCTGCGTCATGCGTTGACAGCCCTGAGGCCTGCTGAGGGCCCCCAGAGGCCGAAGCTGAAGAAGCAGCTGTCGCCGTGTCTGTCGCACGACGCGAGGGGTTCTTGATCCTCGGCCCTGGGCCCTCCAAATCCCCGCTCCGCCTGCGCCCCGTGCTCCTTCCGCCGCCCGCCAGTGGCCCCTCTCCGCAGCGGCCCCCCTCCGAGAAGGCAGCGTCGACCTGTCCCTGCGCTGGAGGGAGCCCGGCAACCACCTGGAGCGCGCCCAGCAGCGGGTGCTGCGCCAGGCACTGCGGGGGGCGCTGGGGCAGAGGCAGGGCAAGAGGCCGCTTTCGGCTTCGGCCAGTTCCAGCTCCGGTCCGTGTCGCCTCCATCCCGTTTGTTTCGGCTTCGGCCCGTGTAGGCTTCGGCTCGATTCGGCTTCGGCCCGTTTCGGCTCTGGTCCGGTGCCGTGCCGTGCCGGGCCCGAAACGCGCCGCAGCCGGAACGGCCGAGGCCGAGACGGGCCGAAACCGAGATGGGCCGAGAGAGCCGAAGCGGGCCCGAAGCCGCATTGGGCCCCGGTCCAGGGACCAGACGCCCTCGAGGGGAGCCAGGATCAGTGGCAACGGCAGGGGCGGGGGCGCTGGCCCAGGGGGGGGGAAAGCATCGACCCACAATCGCCCAGGCATCGCCGATCGGGGCCTGGGCTCCCTGCCACGCCCAGGAGGATGCCTGTTTGTTTCGTGTTTCGTAGGCGAGGGGCTGCCACCGATCTACCCCATGCGGAGTATCGCCGATTCCAGATCCATCTTTCCCCCCTGGGCCTGCCCCTACAGTTTCCCCCTCACCGGATCCAGGATGGAGGTGCTGGGACGTTTTTGGGCATTTTGCGGGGTGGGCCTGCTGCGGACTCGCCTTGGCCTACAGTTCCCCCCTCACCGGATCTAGGGCGGAGGTGCTGGGACGCTGTTGGGCAGCTTGGGGGGCGGGCCTGCTGCGGACCCGCCTTCGCCTACAGTTCCCCCTCACAGGATCCAGGACGGAGGTGCTTGGACACTTTCGGGCAGTTCTGGGGGGCTCCTGCGGACTCGCCCGTGGGTGGTCACGGCTGGCGGCAGCCCGTGCCGTTCAAGTTCTCAGGACTTTCCTTGGGAGGGTTCCTGGGCCGAGGTGTGCGGATATGTTTGGCCGCAGCCGCATGGGGAGGGCTGCGCTTAGCCTAGCCCAGCCTAGCATGGCCGAGCCTAGCCTGAGCCCATCCTGCACGTAGCCCCGCCTGGCCTGTAGCTAGCCTGGCCATCGGCTGGGCCCTGACCAGATGGGGGGACAAGCGTGGGGGGATCACGGGGCCCTCCTGGACCGGGCACCGAAGCTTCGCGGGAGCTTCGCAGCGGGGGGACGGCGAAAGGGGGTGCACGAAGCATCCCCGCTCGCCCAGAAGGCCCAAGCCCGCGCGGCCTGCCTCGCCTATAGGCTTCTGCGCGCCGCCGGTGGACGTGTCTTGGGGACGCGCCGAACGCAGCCGAACGCAGCTCGAAGCCCAGGCCAGGACGGTGCCCGCGAGGGGTCCAGGGATTTATCTTGCGCGTAGGTGAATGTGGATGGTTTCTCCAAAGGGCTTTGGCGACCCGTCCTCCTCCTCCTCCTCCTCCTCCTCCACCTCCTCCTCCTCCTTATCCTCCTCCTCCTCCTCCTCCTCCTCCTCCTCCTCCTCCTCCTTCTCCCCTTCCTTATCCTCCTCCTCCTCCCCCTCCGTCTCCTCCTCCTCCTCCTCCTCCTCCTCCTCCTACTCCTCCTCTCCTCCTCCCCCTCCTCCTCCTCCCCATCCTCGCCCTCCCCTCCTCGGGTCGCCTACGGCCCCGGGGGAAACCGTCCGGGTGAAGGAACCGGCACAGGCCACCAGACGTCGCGAGAACAAGAGGGGCCCAGCAAAGCTTTCTGTTCTAGCAGCAGAGGTGAAGAGGCGTATCGAGGAGTAGGAGGTCGGCCAGTGGGAGCGTCTGCAGTCCTAGGGGGTCCTAGGCGTGACATGGGTGAGAGCACAGCCATGTGCACCGTCGTGTTTTTTTACAACGGGTCGTGGCCGTGTTACAGAGGTGAGAGCACAACCGTGTGCACCGTGGTTTTCTTTCAAGGGATCGCAGCCGCGTGAAAAGTCTGAGGGCACAGCCATGTGTACCGTTGCGTGTTTCTCAGAAGGCATCTTGGCGGTGTGACAGGGGTGAGAGCACGGTCATGTGCATTGTAGCGTATGGTTTCAGAGGGGATCTCGGCCGCGTCGCAGGAGCGATAGCACGGCCGAATGCACCGTGGTGCTGTTCTCCATAAAACAAAAAGAGAGGAGGGATCTGGGCCGTGTGCCAGGGGTGAGAGCAGAACCGCGTGCACCGTAACGCATGTTTGTAACAAGGCATCGTGGCCGCATGACATGGATGAGAGCACAACCGCGTGCGCCGCAGTGTTAGGACGCATCGTGGCCCTGCGACAAGGATGAGAGCAGGGCCATGTGAGCCGCAGTTGTTTTCTCTTACCAGGGGGCGTGGCCGTGTGACGGGGGGGAGGGCATGGCTGTGGGCACCAGTGTGCGTTTTCTGGGCATGGGGATCGTGGCCGCGTGACAGTTGCGAGAGAACGGCCATGTGTACCGTAGTGTGTATGTGCTTGTTTTGATAATAGAAAGGATCGTGGCCGTCTGGGCCAAGAATCTAGATGGCATTGAGACGAGGGCACGATCGTGGCCGTCTCGGCCAAGAATCTACCTGGCATTGGAACGAGAGCATAATTCCTGAGTGGATGGTGAGGACGTCTCAGGCGAAGCGTCTGCCGGCAGTGGGCGTCATAGGGTTCCCCGTCCACCCCCCCCTTTGCGGGATTGTTCTATGGTTTTTGCGCACAAGCAATAGGAGCGAACAACTTCTGGGGAAACGCGACTGGCGCTTTCCCCAATGTTTGAAAGATCGGGACGAAGGAGGGGTGTGACATCCCAGGACAGTCACAAACGACGGCCCGCAACGACACCCTGGTCTGGTCGGGATGGTCTTGCGGCGGGGCCAGAGGGGAGGGGCGGGGCGGGCTCCTGAGACAGCAGGGGACTTGTTCTGGGAGTCAGTGTCACAGTTCCAATCGGGAGCTTTGGCGTGTCGCTCCGCCGGTTCTGGCCCACCACGCTCCGGCGCGACACGCCATCCACGTCCCAGCCACCAAGCGTCCACGGCTGCGTTCTGCCCCAGCCTCCCGCCCAGCGGAGCGCAGCGACGTTGCGTCCACTTGCAAGGCACAGCGTGTCTCGGGGGCCACCACCGCCCACAGCAAGCAACAACTCCCGACCGCAATCGGCAGCGCGTCTCACGCCCCAGGCTCAGGGTCTCGAGGCCTGCCCCCCCCCTTCGCCGCCCTCCGCCTCCCTCCCCTCCCCTCCGTGCCGCAGGGCTTCAGAAACAGCAACAAAAACAAGTGATGAAGGCGGCCGCTCGCGCGCGGCACGCCCGCTCTTCGCGCTCCAGCCTCCCCGGCGGGCCGCCGGGCCGGGCGCCCACCCCGCGGAGGTGGACCAGTGGTGCGCCGAGTACGAGGCGAAGATCCGCGCGCTGGGCGGCATCGGCTTCTTCATGGGGGGGATCGGCGCGCCTGCCTCGCTCCGGGGGCGCTCTCTCGGTGCCAGGCGCTGGCCCCGGGACGACGGCCCGGGGCCCGTTCAGGGCGGACGGCTGGCCAGGATAGAGATCCGGGGAGGATCCTGGGAGGGGTTTGGGAGCAGATTTCGGCTCTCTCTCTCTCTCTCTGTCTCTCTCTCTCTCTCTGCCCCTACCTTCTCTCCCTCAGCCCCCATCCACCCTCCCTCCCAGTTTCTTATCTACCCTTCGTCCTCTCCCTCTCTCTCTCTCTCTCCCTCTGCCCTTCGTCTCCTCTCCTCTCCTCTCCTCTCTCTCTATCTCTCTCCCTCTACCCTCTCCGCTCTCGTCCTCACGTCCTCGCCCTCGCCGCCTGGTCCGGACGGCCACGTCGCCTTCAACTGCCAGGGGTGCGACCACTTCTCCACGACCAGGCCGCAGCGGAGCAGGAGTGGAGAGAGAGGAGGGAAAGGGAGGAGCAGGAGGAGAAGGAGGGATCTGCGACCATTTTCGAACCTTCCACCTGCGGGTCAAAACAACGCTGGGGTATTGGATGTCCCCGCTGGGGTTCACTTGGCTGCAGACGTCATTCGGACTCTGAATCCCAGTTGCCGTTTCAGAAAGCTGACTTGCAAAGGTCCAGTTCACATGTGGTGCCTTTTGTGCATCGTGCCACGCCGAAGAGAGATGTCTTTAACCTTGCTGCTTGGGGAGGCCCCATATGCCCAAGCGCCAAGGTTGTCTCCAGAGCGACCCTCATGAGAGCCGCATTAGTCACTTTCCGTGGGTGGGAGGCCTGGCGGGATTTGCTGGTCCAGAAAGCCATCCGTCCTCTCCGTTACGTGCTCCAGGACGGCCCCAGCCCCTGTTTTCTGGCGTAGTGTTAGTTTTGTCGGGCAGCTCACCGAAGCTGCCACAGGTTCTGCACGGAGCCCACGCGCTGCACGCGCAGGCAGGAAAGTTCTCGACCTCGTCCTCCCCTTCCCTGCTGATCTTCCGCCTGATGCTGCTGCCTCCTCCTCCTCTTGCCCTCCTAAGATCCAGCGAATGCTCACGCGTACGTTTGCAGGGAAGTTCCCAGAGGCCTTGCACCTGACGTTTCCAGCATGTCTAAACAAGTGTTTCCCTGGTCACTCGGATCTGTTACTGGCCGTCGAACGGCGTGCTGTACATTCTCTGTGCGTATCCATGCCTTCTGTTCTTGCCTCAGCCTGCCTGAAAACTTCGAGCAGCTCCTGGACTACAGAAATCCGTTTCCAGAAAGCCTGTTGCAGATGCATCGTGAGTTGTGACTCCAAGGCGCACGATCCCATTCCTCGCGATCTGTTTTGCCAGAGTTTCCTCGTTATCTGCTAACACATCCTCCCCAAGCTTCTGCGATACAGTCCCATTTCCAGTGTTGATATGTTTCCCACCCCATCGTCCTCCGAGGGACTCCCCTTCCATGCCCTCGCCACGTTCTCTACGCGCATCTTGCCTCTTCAAGCCCGCCGTTGTCAGAAGTTTAGGCGGCTTCCGCTCTTCCTCAGGTTCGAGCCGCGTTTGTGCGGCTATTGCGAGGTGATCGAGATCGAACCCGGCGGCGCCCCAGGGCACGTGCGAGGAGGAGGAGGAGGAGGAGGAGGAGGAGGAGCAGCAGCAGGAGGAGAGGAGGAGGAGGAGGAGGAGGAGGAGGAGGAGGAGCAGGAGGAGGAGGAGGAAGAGAAAGAAGAGGAGGAGGAGGAGGACGTGGAGGAGGAGGAGGAGGAGGAGGAGGAGGAGGAGGAGGAGGAGGAGGAGGAGGAGGAGAGGGTGAGAGGGGGCGAGGGAAGCAGGGGGAGGTGGCAGAGCAAAAGAGCACCATGGAGGGGGAGGGGCAGCGTTATACGGGTCTCTTGGGGGGCAGGAGGCAGTTGCCTTCGGCGTGGCGCGTCTTCCTCCCGATCCGCCATGCTCTGATCTCCACCACCCCCGGCCCCCTCCCCCATGGCGTCGCGTGGCGCCAATGCGTTGGCCCGCGGCGGGACCTGCCTGCCGGGCCTCCTAGGCCCTCGGAGCCCTGCCTGACGATCCAACGACCACGACGACGCCCACGACCACGACGACGCCCGTCGACGACGACGACCGCGACGACGAACGCGACGGCGGCCGACTGCGACGGCGGCAGGCTGGACCAGCTCAACTACCAGTCCCAGGCCGCCGCGGCCGGCGACCTGGGGGGCATCGAGGCGGTCCGCCGCCGGAAGGCCAGCCGTCCGCCGACGCCCGCCGGTCAGCGACGAGGCGACGACGGCGACGCCTGCACGGTTTCCACCGGGGCCGTGGGCGACCCGAGGAGGAGGAGGAGGAGGAGGAGGAGGAGGAGGAGGAGGAGGAGGAGGAGGAGGAGGAGGAGGAGGGGGAGAGGGAGGAGGAGGGGAAGGGGGAGGGCGGAGGAGGAGAAGGAGGAGGAGGAGGAGGAGGAGGAGGATTTTTTTAACATGGACCTTGCCCTGGGGATTGGTGTCCGGGCGAATCGGAGCCAGCATTGTGGCCCCGCTGAAAAGACCTGGGCGGTGGCCGACGCAGAGACGGGCACCTCCAGGCACCAAAACACCAGATCAGTCGGAATCATCGGAGACAACCACGACGGACCTGCTGCGGGCAGCTTGCACAAGCGGAGCATCGCAATCCTCCGTTCGGAGGTTTTCCAGCTCTGCGCGCTGCTGCCCATCCTCGCCCCCTCCGTCATTGAGGGGGGGGCGGAAGAAAGAGGCCCAACACCACCAGACGCTCCCGTCTGTCCCACCCCGCCGCCGCTGACCCGACGACACGGCGAGACGACGGCGGGTGGCGCGGGCGCCTGAGTGGGCGCACATCCATGGCCGCAAGGGAAGTCATCTGCCTCCTCCTCCTCCTCGCCAGTGTGCAGAACTCTTCCTTCGGGCTTATGGGCCTACTCTGCAGGGGCACCAGCAGACGGGCCCGAGGGGGCGACAACAAAATGTGAGCTCCCTAGGCCAGCAACACCACGAAAACCAGACGACGACGACGACGACGACGGCACCGACGGTAACGACGAGTCGACGACCTCTCCAGGCTGCTGGCACAGGGGGTCTCCTGAAGGGACTCATCAACAGGCGAGACCTCCAAAGTACCCGCATTCCGCCTGGGATGATTGCCTCTGCATGGCCTGTACTTCCACCGCTCCAACTTGTTCTTGGTCGGATGGGTGCAAATTTTCCCTCACAGAAAAGAAAGATGGGACCCAGGGTCGAGACTGCCTTACAGGAAACACAGACAAAGAGCGGTGAGTCATCGCTACACTGGAATGATAACAGTCTGTGACCAAGAGCTGCTACATTATGGAGTCTGTCTGGGATAGTGCGTGCGCGCCCCGAAGGATCTGGACAGGGGGAGGCGCCAAAAGCGAAATCACCTCTCCTCTTAATCCGAAGGCGCACACGGCAATGCCAATAAGTCCTACACCGTTCCCAATCGTGCACAACATCAGACACACTAGCCTGCTTGCCTGGCTTGGGTGGCCGGGCCAACTCGACTCCAGTGAGGTCCAGTCGGGGCCACAGTGGCATGAGCTTGGCCCCAAAACGCACCACAGCCCTGGCAACACGAATCTTGAAATCAAGCTCATCCTGCTGCGAGGCCAGCCTTGGCCGCCGCGTTGGAGCGAGGCCAGCCTTGGCCGCCGCGTCAGCGGCGTCATTGTCTTTTTTGTTGAAGGCCTGCTCGGGAGTGAGGTCTTTTCTCTCCCCCACGTGGGCGTTGACCTTGTTCGACGACTCCCATTTGGCGAAGGAGGCGAACATCAAACCTGCATACGGGCGCCTATATGAGAGCTTCAGAGGCCTGGGCCCCCCAAAAGCTCAAACAACGTTCAAGCAATCCGAGTGGCCCCTCGAAGGGCCAGTGGTACACTGGGAAGCTGCATCAACAGCCCCAATCTCCCCCGCCTGGCTAGTTTGGGGGAAGGGGGCCAGCATGGGGCCGTACACAGAAACCAAAAGGGAACCATTCTCAGACAGGGCTGTGAACCCACAGCTCCCGAATAATGTGCTTCCTACAACTACCACCAGTATAGATGTCCCCCGAGACGTTGGCGTCGACCCGCTCGGGGCCGTCGGCCCAAGTCACGGCGACACCGTCAGCGTCGCGAGGGCGCGGCCACTGGTCACCAGGACGCGGGAAGATGCCTCTAGTACACAGGGCAACGCTCTCGGCACAATCAGGGTCAATGGCTCGGGCTGCCTCCTGGATGTCGCTTTTCACCAGCTCGTCTCTGGTGCCTTGTTCAGTAGGGCGGAAGGAACCAAGTCCTATGCTAAACCGAATCAGGAGCGGCACGACACAACGGGCACACATTGGAGGCCAGCTGGTACCCACAGGACATAGCGCGATCGCATGACCATGTAGCACCGCAGCCCATGCCTCGAATGCAGCCCTTCTCCAGGGCAGTGAACATAGAAGAAGCCAGCGCAGCCCGCACGACGTCGTAACAGAGCCTGTCGCCGAGACCTAAGGAGCGACCTGAGTCACGCTGCAACTGCCGTAGCACTCCGTCCTGCAGGGCTTTCTTTGACGAAGGCAGGAGAGAAAACGGTTAACTCCAGGACCACCGCAAAATCGTTGGCAAGCTCAGTGAACGTCCTCATGGACCATCCTATCCCTCCCAAAGTCAGCTTCATGGCCCCAATGGGGCCCCTCATGGGTCCCCACGTGAGCGGAACCCCCCGATGTTGGCCATTCGTGCCAGACTGGAAGACCGATTCCCAAGCGGACCGAAGGAACTGGAAGGAGAGGGGGTTCTCAGAACATCTTAATTGATTAGCCCACACCTCCACGGAGTAGCGCACAACTGGTAAGACAGCAGCATGCCAGCAAAGGTCGCCCTCTAAGATGAGGAGGAAAGTAAGACTACGCATCGCCGCCGGGGGCTTCAAAACGCAACCTAGACCGCGACGGGGACCAGCTAACTCATAATCTGAGGACACCGTGGACCTCGCTAGCATAGGTGGCGACGGCAAGGGGCCCAGTAACAACAACACGTTTCGTATGTCTCTGTCCCAGGACGGCCCTGGCGCGCCTCAGCTTAGCGACGCGAACCTTCAAAGGCTTGAGACGCTGCCTAGCCTTGACACCGCGGCTCGCCTGTCTGCGAGGCCGTCCTGCCGCGTCGCCCACGCCGAGGTTCGCAGCCGTGCTCGTCCCTGGAGTGGGCCCGCCTAGACCATCTGAAAGGTACCTCAGCCCCAACAATCTGCGAGGAGCACACAACAGAAGCTTTGCCAATCGAGGCAGCACTCGTCATATCATCGGTGAGCACGGCGCGAAGCTGGGCGGCACCATGGAGGATGTCAGAGACTACAGGGCGCTCGCTGCCAGTGGAATGCAGACCGTAATCGTTAATATAGATACTGAGAGAGTCTTTGGCCGATGGGGGCGAGGCGGTCGATGCTGGGTATAATATAAGCCCGACCGAACGACGTAGCAAACGATTCCCCAGCCACCACCCCGCTGCACGCGAAGAAAGACCCCTCGATCATACCACCTATACTGCGCCATCTGGGTCCTCGATGCATTGTGATAGCTCGCCTCGAGATCTGAGAAGGGAAAGCCAATGCGTTGCATCCACGCTGCAGCTGGTCGAGGTCTACCAACTCGTAGAACTTAAACCGGCCCCACAAAACAGAACATGCTACTCCTGACTCGACCGATTGTCTCCAAACAATATCTGCTGCGCCTGTGATAGCGCCTGTCGCGAGGTATGGACGAGCCAGATCGTTTCTCCATGCCTCTGCGTAAGGGCGACGCAATCGGCCATGCAAACGGTGCGCGGGCGAAGATAAGCCGATTGGTCGCCATTCCCCCACCTGCTTCGGAAGATGGGAGATCATGAGGGAACGGACATGGTGAGGGGCGACGGACGTAGACTCCATCATACTGTACATGGACATGAGAACGATGAGGGCCCCGTCGTACATCGCGGCGTAGTGGCGCATGTGGAATCCATCCACGCTGACAGCCGTGCCCTTGGGCTGAGACCTGGAAGCTCTACGAAGCGCGTCTGGAGGTCCAAAGGGGATTGCAGAGGGCCCAAGGGTCGGCGATTCTGACACATTAAATTTCGAGCCCTCATCGGGCGCACTTGGGGACGAGGGGGTAAAACCGAAGCGGGGGCTCCTTCCCCGCGAGTGAGGATCAGAGAGGGCGATGCCACTGGCCGAGAGGGCGGCGGCGGGTTTCCACGGACCAACATCGCGGGTCCACCAGTGGAGCTTGCGGGCCCCCGACGAGTTGCACTCGCGGGGCCGAGCCCTCCAACTCTTATCCGCAGCCGCCCTCTCCTTTCCAGAGAAAGCCCCGAGGAAGGAAGAAGCCTGCTCAAGCAGCTCCGTGCCCTGAGCGTACAGCGGATCAAGAGAAGCCCCAGGAGGCCCCACAGCAAGGGGGCCCTGGCTACACGAGGGAAGACGAGATTTAATGCACCCTTGGGCAAACGCGCGGACCTGGCCGTAGAGGTCTGCAAAGCCCCTTAGGTTCTTGCAGATGATGCCGGGTGGTTCCAGCAGGAAATGCGCCGCGTGGAGAGCTGATCCTCGCCCCCCATGCTGCTGCTTGAAAGCTTCGGCGAGAAAGATGCGGTAGGTGCTCTCCAAGCACCTGACAGCGTAAAGGCCTGGTTGTCGAGCCACCCTGTTGTCTTTATCGAGCACCGATTTCCAAGCCAGCTTGGGAAGGCGGCCCCTGGCCCCCAACACAGGCAAGGAACATTGTCGGTCGGCGACCAACTCCAACTCCGCTTTTTCAGCCCAACTCCGATAAATACGGTTCAAGTGCTTTTGAATGGGGCCCCTGGAGGCCATGCTCCTGGCAAGTCCTAGTCCATATTGCGCGCAGTCCAGCTCCTCATCCCAACTCGGAGGCTCGGGAGCAGGGCAGATTGCGCACTCAACAGGCATCGGTGGCGGCATTGCAAATCCCAAGGCCTGCAATCGTGCAATCTGCGGAAAGAAGGAGACGCGAACTAGCTTGCGCGGCTTGGTCGCCGCCTCTAGACAGCGCTCGGTGCTCTTAATGGCCGTGGACTGGCCGAACGAGACGAAAAAATAGGCGAGCTTGTTCACTCCTTGCGTAGAAGTGCCCGTGCAGGTACCAGAGGCGTCGGGGTATACTATATTAGCCGGCAGGATGCTGACTAGTTCCGACGCCGCCAAATCACCAGGTTCCATCTGGACATCTGCACCAAGAA